CCTTTACAATACCTGAAGACTTACTCAATTTCATTATCGATTATTTCAGAAACCAATCAAATTTTCGATAATTGATTTATTTGCACGCGACATACAAAGTGGCAGAACTTTTGCAATTATCGATTCTGATGGGTATGGAAATTTCTGAAACTTACTAAAATCATTATTTTTTTCAATCCAAGATGCTTAGCTAAAATTATGTTTGCATTATTTACTTTATTTTTCCTTGCAGTTGTGCTGTTCCAAATGGAATGCTTAAAGATATTTATAGAATTGACAAAAATCACTTGCAATTAACTGTCGTCTTTAATGGCTTCTCAGATGAGGTGATATTACTTATTTGATAATTTACTGTATTTGAATGTTTTATAGGGTTGTGTTGAATTCCTGAATTTTTGGCGGTTTTAAGATTGTCGTACTTTAACATAGACCGAATATCCCGAAATAGAAGACGGAATGTATTCAGTTTTATTCAGTTAATCCAGCACATTTTCAGGCCGATATAATCTATGAGGCTTATGCTATACCTTGCGATGAATTTTGTGATCCAAATAGCTGCAACCAAGTGAATTCCACAAAAAGCCAACAAATCAAGTATACCTTGTTTAAATGTTACAGAAATATTTTACATCCCCTAGTTTCACTCACAAATAAATTTCAATATTCTGAAATTTTTTATAAAATTTTAGTTACAGAATTAAAAATAGAATGCGGAAGAGGCGATCATTAATAGAACCATCTGAATCACGTCTGTTTCAACTTTCTGGTGATATATACGCTGTAAAATCATCTAATAAGCTCAAACTTAAACAGAAGTCATGGAAAACAGAAACGGGTATGACTTACTCTCCGTGATTAAAACCGTCAAACTTCATCTTTGATCTGACATGTTTCATTCATATCTTCAAAAATGACTTTTGCTCAATTTATTTCTGTTAATTCACAAAAATTCGCTCAATATTTGTATAAATTTTCTAGGAAGTAATGATTTACGAAGAAAGTCAGTACTAATGCTTTACGAAGAATCATTAACAGATATCAGTAATAGCGTAAGTCCAAATATCATTAATTTTTGCATTTAGATTTTTCAAATATTATTTTTAAAATTATTTGCTAGCCACTTTTTAAATTGGCCACCATTGTAGGCAGATGGAAAAGCCATCTCAATAAATCAGTTGGTATGTATTACCGAAGATGTAAAATGTTTAACATTTTTTTGGCACTATGTCTTCAGGCCTTAATGTTGATTGTTGTCATTGCTATCACATACACTATCATTCAGGTATCATTTTCTTAACTGGAATATGAAAAATTTCATTAGATGATAAAAATCAGGAAAGAAATTGGAATTTCATTTCTTCTTTTTTTTCTCGTCAAGTGATTGAATGCAATAACTTACATTCAAATCAATTTTTTACAGCATTACATGCGACACCAAAGGAACTCGGAAATTGTTGGACTGAATGAAAGTAACGACAATAAACAAGAAACGGTTAGAAGGCTATCGGAAGGTTGATATTTTCTGGTGACTGGTGTTTGCGATAACAGAGGATGAAGTGAATTAAGTGAGAAGGAAAGTTTTGTGAAGTGAAGTCCAAAGATTCGTTGAATAATTCACCTTTCAGTTACTATTATACTATCTATATCTGTAGGTCGCCTTTTAAAGCTATTGTATGATACATTAAAAGCGTTTGAGTATTGTCGGAAGTTTGGCTGTTTGTTGCTAATCAGTATCAAAAAGCCAAACTGAGGTAAAGAAGATGTGATAGATATGAATGAGGAAGAGAACAAGGTTAAGAAAACTTGTTGATCTTTCCGAAAATATTTTTCATTGAAATCCGAGAATTTTGCTTAATTAATTTCTAATGAAATCACTTATTAACAATTTGTTCATCACTATACAATCTATTTTTCGTTTAGCATGAAATAACAGTCAGAGGCAATTCCTTACGAGTAAATCGAATCGATACACTGAGCTTTACCTTAATTACTGTTTACTTGTTTGTAAACAGCACCGAACTAGTGATCGCTCCATTTATTTCATGTCGTCTATAGGTTTGGTATCCCCGTAATTTGAAATTTCTTCCCTTAACGGTAATGAATAAATATCAAGTGTTTTTTCCAAGAATTTTTAATATAATCATCATAATCAGAAATCTTGTTCTTTACTTCGATATCACTATATAATGCAGCCATTCTCGATCGTATACGTATTCCGATAGGCAACAGTTATCGTTGCTAGATCATCTATATAATACTAACATCATGCAGCATGCATAAACCATTTCGGTGTGTTACTTAATTTCGTTTTATTCAATTAGTATTAATTTAACTTATCATTTGATAGTTATCAGTTATTCTGTCATACAACTGAGTTGAAAAGCGCATGGCCACACCTCACACTACTCTATCATGTTGTACAACGTTATGGTAGTATCGAGATGTCGCACGTTTCAAAGCTTCAGTTAAAGCAATGGAACACTACCAGATGAGAGTGCAATACCTGAAGGTAAAGGTGAAAGCAGTAGAAACCTAATTAATAAGCTGATTAGATGAATCATTCAACAGGGTTTGTGTGAGAGCTGAAACCTAAAGGTGGGTCTTATGATGGTTAATCCAGAAACCACTGGACTTCCCTTCAGCAAATTCTTTAATAGAAACAAGAAAATACTTACATTACTTTTCGGTAGATTGTGAATGTTGTAAGATTGGCAATCAACGGCATTCATTCTCTGCATTCCAGCAGTCGGTTCAGATTAGAAATACCTCGATAATGTAAGGGCAGAAAGTACTGTGCTACTGAAATAAGGTTAAATTCAACGAATACCTTGTGCCACTTGACGGATGACAGCTTTTATGGTGAAATGATACAACGATCCGTATTTTACGGTGCTTACAGTGATCTTCAATTTTTTGAAATGAGAATAAATTAATGAAATTACGAAGTCGATTTTTTTAAGACTAGAATTTCATACCTTATCAAATCTGTTGAGTATGTTCGGAAAAGGAAAGGCTACATTCACAGATTATGTTCATATTAAAAATTTGAAAATAACGCATCGAGCAAAAGAGGCAGAAAGTTTGCAGTGCACAAATTTAGCGATTAGATCATCTAAACGAAATATGAACTTTAAGAACAATCAGTTTAAATTTGAATTTAGATTTTAAAAGATTTCAATTTTCAATACTTAATTAATCATAGAGAAAGGAATTCCCAAAAGAAGTAAAGCATTGTAGACACATTGAAAAGATGAAAACTATAACAGTTATTACTTTTGGGATGAGCCAACTCATTTACTAACACACAACTATAAATTAATGGTCAGCGGTGGTCCAATTCTTCCCCTTTATGATGGTCAATTTAGTAATGATGAAAGCTTGTTGTCCACCATTTTATTGCCCCACTAATCATCGTTCATTTTGTCATTTTGTCAAGGATATGCTTCAGTGAATAGTCGATTTCTTATGCTACACTTTTTTTAAAAAATTTTTATCGATTAACAGGTCATTTTAAACTGTGAATTTAACTGTTACAGAGGTTAAGAAACGATAATTTCCAGATTTCTGTCATATTGTTGACATTATTTGCACACTATTCAATTTATTATCTAACAATCGATTCCTGCTTATTTTGCTATTCCTTAATTAAATCTTACTTGAATCTGAACATTTCCATTGTTTCCATCGGTTACAAGAAATTTTACTAGAAGTTTTGTTCAATGAAACAAATTAAAATATCTTCTTTACTGCAACAAAAGCACAAAAAGATAAATGTCTCATCATTTTATACAATAGCATAGGATAAATTTACTTTCAGTGAAAAGAATTCACTTCGATTTAATATATTTATTGATAGTATACCATTTGCATTTGCATTCACTTCCCCTTCTTCCGTAAGTTTTAATGTTGTGTGCACAAATTTCGGTGTCACCATTTCATCACCTGGAACGGATATACACTTTAATGCTTTCTTTGGGGAAAAAATACAATGTCCTCAATATGTCATACTTTTTTCAAGTGATCAGTTCTTCTGTTTACTACCGTGGTTCTAAATTACGATTTTCGAGTGACCTGGAAACTACTATCACCCAATTGCTACGAAACATCTGATGATGTTACTGATAAGACAAACTGCTGTAACCTTGACAGATCCAGAATTTTAGATCACCACTGGCAAAGTATTCATATAGCAAAACCTGGCCACAAACAACTCTGAATGCTTTACGATAGACACTACCGCCTTTCACTGTCAAAACTTCCGATATGGCATGCACTGAATTTCTTCGCCATATTTGTCCGCTTTCCTGAATAGTCAATTTCAACAAATGTTTTCGTTGTTTAACGCAGGAGGAAGAAATTCTCTTGACTTGATAGTCGAATGTACGTACATTTATCGTAAACTTACCTGATAGTCGATCGGTGTAATTGGCTCAGCGGGCACACATGTGTTATCAAGTGCATTCGGTACGGAAAGTTTTCCGCCATAAGCTACCGGAATGGAGTCAATTGATAAATATGGTAACAAATCATTGGGTAAGTTTCTGGCAATAGTGAAACGACTGAGTGTTCTTGGAGGAAGTAACGCTGTCATCACCTGCGCCATTTTATGACATTATAATTAAGTAATTGAAAGGAAACTTCGCCAAACCGTAAAACTTTAAAATTAACACTAAACTAAGGTGGAGAAAGAATGACACTCGAACTCTTCACTTGTTAAAGTTTAAAAATCGTTCTTCAAACCTTTCGTAGAGCGGGAAAAAATGTTGGCGAATTAACGATAATAATACGTTTCAACAATTCACTGTAGTAATCCATCCACAAATGAATTCGATACTGAAGATAATGGCAAATAATTATGGGAATTATAATGATATCCTGAAATTGGCTTAAACGGGGAACCAATGGTACAATAAAATTAAATTTTAGTAAGTAATAAAACCTAATTTTGAGATATTAAATTTTGGATGATACTCTAAACAGCCAGTTTTATTCAATTTAGTTAGATTTTCTGCAAATGCAATATTGATTTTGCTTACTTTACATTATTTTTATGCATATGGAAAATAATGAATGAAATAAAAGAAACCAGCATAAGTTTGTTCATCGTTCCAAGAGGATTCATGTAGGGTAGAAATGAACATCCTTTTTGATCAAATATACAAATGGTATACGATCGACGACCAGTTTTCTTTTCATTTTCCAAAACCAAATTTTGAAAATGTTCACAAAAACCGAAAAATGTATGCAAATAGTCGGAAACACGAACAGCTTTCAAAAACTGCAAGTAATTATTAGGAGGAACTTTTCCGAACTTTTTACGATAATGAAATCACAGCAGTCAGATTGATTAAAAAGCGTAATTTAGCTATAACCTTAGTTCTAACATTTATTATCTGTTTTCAACTTGTATTTCCAACTTAATCATCCAAAGAAATTTAACCTTTTGAGGATTTTCGATAGGCATTTCCACGAATACTATGCCATTATCCAAATCTTTAATCCAATGTCTTGTTATTTTAGTTTGCGTTAGAAAGCGGCCATATTTTCGAATCAACGGTTGCTGGTAAAAATCTTCAGTACTTTCTGGATTACTGTACCTGAACTGAAATTCAAATTGGAAGCTTTAAAAAAAGTGAAAGAAGTGAAAATTGGTTGAGTAAATTTTTGATTGTGAGAGCTTATGCCTTTTAAACTTTAGAAAACTTACCCAAGCATTCTGCGAGTTTCCAAATATTCCTCAAATTTAACTACACATGTTTCCAGATCCTGAAAAATCACAAAATTGCCATCATGCTTTGATTGTAGATGCAACTGGATAATTACCTGTTCATATGCGTCAATCCAACGTTGCAATTGAAAGTCCGTATTTAGATCTTCCGGAAGTTTTTCACTAAGACGTACACGCAGTTTTTGCACGAGTTCATTCATACCGATTCCGTAATAGTTCATAAATTTAGATACGTATGTTACTAAAATTTAATTTGAATCTCAGAAAATGATACCGTATAAGTGCTTGTCGATGACATATACTTTCAGTGATAGCATAAATTAGTAGAGAGACGATTTCGTTAAACTATATTCAACAATTAATTGCAAACATTACTTAAAATTCTTTGTTTAAATCAAATAAAAGTATATCATACAAAATATAAACTAAAAAGTACTTTAACAGCAAATATAATTGGTTGTATGAAGAGTGTAACTCATCTGTTTACACTTATACAGAATGGAAAAGTCGCAGTTTCAATATTTTTGGAAATGGATTGGATTAACTGTCCGGAAAGATTGTCAAAGAATTTCAGCATGTTGAAATGATGGTAATTAGTTGGATTGGTAGCGTGATGGGATATGAACATAATGTTTCAAACAAGCTGTTGTACAGTGACAACGAAGAGATGGTTCATTAATTAGATAAGTCGGCCAGCAAATTTGATGGAAGGAAATATTTAATGAATGAGTATCCTCCGGAAAGTTAGCTGTGATCTTATCCCGTCTATTAAGAAATTTGTGCAAGTCTGATTGTATACCTAAACCTCTTATCTCATTAGGCTTCATAACATAGCAAATGATAATTGTCCTCGTGATCATAGAAATTGCGGCTACTGTCATGGCAAAAGCTGTAAGCGAATCGACGACATTCACAGAATCCAAAACTTGGTAAAAAAAAGTTTGAAATTCGAAATTTAAAATACTTTATCATCGATTTGTAAAGGTATGGGATGATATTTTACGACAAATACCATTAATCTGTTTGTTTAAAGTGAAGTCTCGATTTTTTTTTGTCTATTTTGATGGAATTTTTGAATTTTCAAAGTTTCTTGATAAAATTACATTTCCGACTTCATTGCAAAAAGAAGTTTCAGAATTTGTCGATTATCTTACAACCATTCTGAACTTTGTGAAACAAGACATTAGCAGTTTTAGCAACAAAGTGAAATATCCTAAATTATGAAATATCCTAAAAAAATTTAAAATAAAATAAAAGTTATTGCAAAAAAGCAACTTTAATACTAATTGCCTCAGGTTCACAATAATTAATTAGGAATGAGTAGTAATTTCAGAATAATATCAGTTTGGTATATCACAGATATACTTACATCATCTCTAGTTGAGTTGAAACATGATACGTAACAATTCAAGACATGAGAGAAGAGGGAGAAGAAGGCATCGTTCCTTTCCTTTTGTATTTGATTTACTGCAACCTGTTTTTTGATCCTTCTTAACTTGTTTTATCCATCCCTGGCTATATATTAATATCATCACTTCGTATCTATGAATTCGCTATATCAATTAATCATCATGTCGCTGTACTTGCTTGAGGCGTTCTTCATCTTTCACGACAATCTTTTATCGTTGAAGACAACTGTCATTGTTATAAGTGAGAAATTGATAAGATTCTGCGAAGTTCAGTTGTCGATAAAATTTTATTTACATCCCTCAAGAATTTTTTTTCCCATAAAAATCTGTCGCATACACCAATCAAAGTAAATGTCAGAGAAGTAACACTATGCATAATCCTGTCACAAGTCGGTTTGCATTCTTTTCCATTTTATTGCAACAATTCGAAGCAAATAGTATTTGTTGTCTTGGCTGTGGCTGTAGTCTGTCTTGGCTGTACTCTTTTCCTGTCCGTAGCATTAAATGTCGTTAATTTAGTGACCCACTTAATATTGGTGTTTCAGATCTAACGCACTGATAAAATCATTCCTGAAATTAATTTTTAGTTTTTTTTATTTTTGATTTTTAGTTCTTTTGACTCTTTTTTCTTCTTATGAATCAACGTATATCCTTTCATTATTAGTATAATTGTTTCTTTGTAAATTATTTCTTGAAAAAAAAATTTATTAAAATCAACTTTTATCGATATATTTATACTTGAAAAGAAAAAAGAAAAAAAAGAACTTAGGAATAAAGCTTAGATTTTTTAAGATTTTCCAGAAAGTTTAAGTACTTAAAAAAGCAGAGAAGGAAAAAAATTTTTCTTGCTAAGCATATTTAAATTTAAATGCAAAATATACATTTAAATAATTATTAAATTTACTAATAACTTATACATACGATATAAAAATGAATTGATAGTGTTGTCGCTTGAACAATCGTTTGCCATCCTCGTTGCTTAATTGCAAGAAATGCATTGAAAATGGATAAAATGACATATTCTTCATGCCATCCAGAATAAATGCTACACTTAATCCAAGTTGGAAATGATCAGATGTCATAAATACCTTCATTAAACAGATATTTAGTACTCTATGGGATAAAATCTAAAATAAAATTTTAATTAATATTTTTGATAAAAATCTGTCAAGTAATCTAGTAGTGAAAGCAAGAGAAAAACTATTATGTAGAAAACTAAATTTCAACTTTACATTAATTATTATTGTTATTGCAAAAATATTATAAAGTATAGGAATAATCGAAAATTAAAAAGAAAAATTTAAACATTAGTTACAGTCAAAGTTTTCAAACAAATAAAATGAATATCTTTTGATATACTTTATCTATATATCAATTATTTTACGATAATTCAGCTAATTTCAGCAGTACGGTAATGTAGGTCGAGTGATATCTAATGATATCACTTCAGCCGATTGTGATTACAGATAAAAGATGCATTATTTGGAATAGAAATGATTTAGAACGCTGATTCTAGGCAACAAAATTAACAGGTTACTGGATTTCAAAATCACTGGTACTTATGCATACGTGAGATTCCATTGGTGCGGTTAAGGAACGGACGAGTTCCAAATGAATCATATTCTAAAAACTTCACATCCACACATTATTGCTTTTTTCCATAAATTCCCGACATCGTATGGGCATTTTGCTATATTCTCTTGAGCATTAATTAGAAATATTTAGCTTACATAATTTATCCTTGTAATAATTAAAAACCTGATGTATTATGTCATCTATTTATACAACTGCATATGTTATACACTGAATAATGTAACTTTTGTAAACTTATAGTCATTCTAAATTATTCAACTCCTATAATATCAAGCCTCTTGTACAATCTTAATGTTATTTAAGCATATCTTGCTTAAATCAATACTAAATGCCAAACTCATAGCAACAATCGCGGACAAATTCTGAATAATTAAATAAATTGTATGAATTTTGAAAATAATTCAAATTTAAAGTATGGCATAAATTCTGAACACTAACAAAAACATTACCAGCATTCATTAAGCAGACGAAATGTTGTTTCGTGGAATTTTGAAAATTTTTTATGTCTTAAGTGTTACATAAGCAGTTGCTAAGCTTATCATCGACTTACAAAATTTCAAATTTGAATTTAAAATTAAATTTGTCAATAAATTTTCTCCTCTTTTATGTCTTCGATGTTATTGCTTTACTGTATGACAAAATTGAGACATTAATAAAGTATCGAGTGTAAAAAAAAGTTAATAATGATTGAATGAAGTAATCAATAACCAATAGTTTTTCCATGTTTCTGACCGCGTTGTCGATTTGTCGATTAGCTGCCCGAATAAAAAGTAATTGCCAAATTTTGAAGAATGCATTTATAGCTCGGATTTTTGACGTTCCAATTAATCAGCTAAAAATTCGAAATTTTTTTTTTTAAATTCTTACTTCCTCATTTTCTGAATGAGGGAATTTTTCTACGAAATAATTCATGCAATATATCTATTACTTCTCGAAATTCAAAACTACCAAAAAAATTTTTCTTTCTCCTACTTTTCTGAAATAGTGCGATATACCAAAATTCTTCCAATCTCGTTTATTTATTTGTTTACATACTTCGATAAGCAATAACAAAACGTTAAAACGGTTGTTGTTTGAAATTTTAATCGAAAATTTAATTTCAAATCTCTTTCATTATACGTAATTTGGAAGTAAGTGAAGCATTCAGCGTGAAATACTATCGAAATTCAAATGGATAGATCAAAAATATTTTTAAATGCTGTACGGAAGATGAAAAATATTTTTAACTGTTGTATGACTATCGTTCTTTCTCTTTTTTTTCTATTATAAATGTATAAAAACAAAAAACCAAAAAAAAATGCAAGAGAATACAAAGAACGTTTTATATTTATTTATACAGTTTATTGAAAATATTCAAAATACTTTACCGTAAAATAAAATATTCAAAATGTATTACCAGAAAATTCCACTCTCAAATTGTTAATATAATTGCATATTATTAGCATATTTGTGTGCTATCAATATACTTTTATAGTTTCATATTATTAGCATATTTCTATATTATCAGTGCATTCGTGGCTCATCAATGCATTTGTATATCAGCAATTACATTAGTACATTTGCATATTATCAATATAATTATATCCCATAAAAGAAAATGAAATGTTGTATCGAAGCCAAAAATTGTAAAGGAAATTAATCTGAGGAATGATGTCATTGGATAAATTAACTGAATTATCCAATACATCCGGTGGTATTCCAACAAATTCCTTCTTATCGACCTATTTCAGAGGCTGAATTTTTATCAAAAAAATAATTCGATTAGTTGATATTTGAATATTTCTATCAATTTTAGTACTGATAAGCACTGTACCAACTTTTTCACTACTATCACCAATATATAATACACTTTTAAGTTCCAAATCTATTCTCGCCATTCCAATAAAAAAAGAAGAAAGACTATAATAGAATACACTGTCCAACATTCTTGACAAGACAAAGAAGAAGTGGAAAAAGCAGTAAAACTAAAATATTCAACATTATTGATATCCCAAAGCACGGGAAAAAGGAGCGGGAAGAAGTGTCAAAGTGAACGAAACATATAAACAACCAATAATATTAGTTTTAATTTAATTGAAATTAAGGAAGCAACTTTTCAAGAATTGCTACGAAGATTTGTTTTTGTTTAAGCTAAAAAAGCTTATCATTTTTATCGTTTTACTTTTTTTCCGCTTAAATTCAAGTGATCATCATTTTGATTTCTATTGCATCCGTTTAATGCTTCATTTTATATATGCAGAATTTTGATCATATTGATAGTTTTTACCATTAAACTTGGTGATATTTATGATAACAATAAATGATAGCAAATTTTTAATCATTTTATATGAGAAATAAATAATCCCTCGTTATCATGCTGCATAACCCTTTTCGTTTATGAATTTTTAGTTCTATTCAGGATTATTGAAGACTTTCACAATTATATTGACATATGCATTACGTGATTAACAAGACGATATCAACTAATCATTATCTCCAGCTAACATTGTTAAGGATGGTGTACGCTTGGAATAAATTTCAACATTAATTTTTTTCAGATGTTTTTCTAGGACAGCAGGCATAATATCTCCCATGCATACTCGTAAATCACCAAAAATATCCTCTTCTTTTTTGCTTTCTTTGTTATCATTGTTATCAGCATTACTATCATCATTGCTTTGTTCTCGATAAAATTCTCGTAAATTTCGCAAGTATTATTGTTGAATTTTTCTTCATCATCAAATTCTTCATCAGCTTAATGAATCATATATTCAATATTTTGAAGGATAATGAGAGAGACAGGCGGGGAGAGAGAGAGAGAAAGAGAAGGGAAGAAAAGGAGGAAGTATTAAGTATCTCAAATTTTATTCATTTGCTTTTATCCCAACACCCGCTTTTATGTGCCCTTTTCTTCTAATGGAATATCTCTGAGATGCTACTCTTATTGTCAGTTTGTTTTGGACAGTGAAATTTGTCAACACCATCTTCTTTCAGATCATATCTATCGATTCTCTTTGCTGAATTCATCATCTCTCAATACCATTTATCATATCACACTTTTCTTTACAAATATTTGAAAACTATGGGTCAGTATTTAAAATTTCTTATTCTAAATTCTAAATATGCAATCAAAGCCGACACATGATTGGTTCTTTATCTGGTTCTTTTTGATCATATCTGAGCAAGATGTCAATGTATATGTGCTAGTTTTGACATGTGTCTCCAAGTTCACGCAATACATGTATCCTAAAGTAATTATAAATATAGAATAAATAACAGTAGAAAATGTATTTAATAGAATTAACACTTTCCGTAGGATATTTTGATTTTTGATGACATGAAGATGTATTTCCCCGACCAGTTGTTAATAAATCGATCACTATTTCTGTTAGCAAACAGGATTTTCACCTGAAATTATACAATTAATTTTTGATAATAAATAATCTTGCTGAAAGACGTTGATAATTGCTCCTGTCCAGCCATTTTCGTCCCTTCACCCTAATTCTCTTCAGCATTTCCGAAAAACGAATCCTTAAATAACTGAGAGAAGCAGAAAGCCAAGGGATAGTGGAAGGCCAAGAACATATAGCGCAAACATTTTTGAACGGGAATATTCATGTTCAGTTATAAAGAACTCTCAAATTATAAGGAACTCTTATAAAGAGCTAAAGGCCTCTTATAAAGTTATAAAAGTTATAAGGAATTCTTTCTCTTAGTTATAAAGAACTCTCAAATGAAATAGACTTATCTCCTTTGTGCGTGTCAACTAAAATCTGCCGTGTCAATAGCGTAACTTTACTACTTTCATCCTGTTGACACGTTGATGTATTCACAATGAGCGGAATAAACGTAGTTTGAAGCTCCCTAAATTAGCAATTAATAAAAGCATTTTCAACGAATGAAATATAGCTAAAAGGCTATCATCTTAACATTGAACAACATGAGTGACAGAAGCAAATTCTCGGTCATTTATGAAATCGTTTGAAATATTAAAAGCATACCGTATATTTATTTGCTGGAATTGCCTTAGCCTGTTGAACAAAAGAATAAACGCGTTAGAGTAGTCATTGGACACTCATAATTTACCTTTATTATCTCACTGAACTACACAACTTCCATTAGAGATTTGGCTCAAAGATCCGATACCCTTTACTTATACGTACTCCTCCAACCTCCTTGTTTTCTGTGGCGGAATTCCTCATATATTTCCGATCTCTCTGCCCTTTCTATATCTTTCTTGTTAACTCCAAAAGAATGTGCTAATTCTTAAATTCTACTAGAGCAAATGTTCATTGTATTTGTAAACAAGGGGCGGTAAGTTCGTCCCCGTCAGATGGAATATTGCGCACGTTGCTCTTCCATTCAAGAAAATATTAAGCATTGAACATTTGATCTGTGAACTTCCAAAGGATAAAGAAAAAAAGAGGCTTAGACATAACGGACACATACAACAGACTGAAAACTAACGAAAACACGTGCAGGGATGGTAAAAACACGTCACTGATAAGGTATTCCACTGGATTGTCTTTAAATGAAAAATTACCTTTTCAATTAAACTCGAAAACGTATCATAAGATGTTGATGGATAGGTGTGATTCATTCATGACACTCACGACGTATCTGTCTTATTTTGCCGCCATAGAAAGATGGGAAACATTGCGTAACGTGAATGCAGAAGATTGCGCAATAAGCCAAAATCAAACTACAACATTGCAACGTATCGGTTGTCGGGAATGAGATGGCTTGATATCATCAAATATCTCATCAACCAGTGCATGAATATAGAATTCAATGGTTGATAGAACGGTTAACTATGAGTTCTTTCCGGCAAACTGAAAATGGTGTTTGCTTGCACTTGCTTGCAATTACATCACTATACAGAATGAATTAGAAGTTTTGCAAAATTCTTAAAGCAATTTGGTGACGCTGCCATTCATGTTTCTAAACGAATTCAACCATATTAGCATAACAAACATACATAATTAAGTTGTCTCTAACTATTCTTTAATTTTATTACTGCCGTAAAAGCCAAGATGAGAAGCAAAACC